CAATAAGTGCTTTAGGAATCTCACAGGCAAGCCACTAGGGTGAGTCGTACACCATCTCTAAATCTGAATAAGGAAGATTTTCACCTTGATCAACCTTTCCTTCTCTCTTGTTACCTTCCTTCCTCCTGTGAAGTAGGGCTCCTTTCACATAGGGTACAACGTTGAAAAAGACAAATAAGCAAAAAACAACATTTTGATCTAAATATGTCCATAAGCAAATCGGGTTATCTCCGAAGCTACAAATAAATCGTCATAAAATACAAATAGCACCATGGAACATCCGAAAGAGAAAAAAAATGCTCTACTGATAATTTAAAAAGTAGTAACTACTACGATAGCCACAGTGAAGCTTGCCTACGCTAAATAATCCAGTTCCACTATGGCCATCACTAGAGGGACGAATCAATGAAATCTGGCCACGAGACTCCCTATGTAGAACTCTCCATGAATTTTCGTAGCTTAACCTGACATGTATGGTTTCATATGAGGTTCACCAGGACCCTGGCAGGGCTCGACATGTCAGTGCTGGCCTCGAGCTCTTTGTCTCATAACTGCGTGGGCTGCCTGTCCTTCCCCACTCTCCAGGGCCACAGTGCTCTGTATTTGCTCAGGCTGCTTTCCTCTGTCGGTGATACTCAGTTTGCTCTCTCCTTCACCTCTATTTGTTTTACTGGACAGCTCCTTTCAACTCTTTTTTCAACAGTTTTATTGAGGTATAATTGATGTACAAACAACTGAACATATGTAATGTGTATAGTTTGATGAGTTTGGACATACGAAAACATCTGTGATACTCTCATCACAATCAAGGTAACTGACATATGCAACATTTCCCAGAGTTTCCTTGAGCCCCTTAGGTGTTTGTTTTTGTTTTGTGTTGTGATGAGAACACTTAAATGAGATCTATACTCTTAACAAACTTCAAAATGCACGATATTGTGCATGATACTTTACAGGCAAAATGTGGTATGGCAGATCTCTAGAAGGTCTTCATCTTGCATCACTGAAATTTTAAATCCATTGAATAACAACTCCTATTTCCCCTATCCCCCAGCAGGCAACCACTATTGTATTCTCTGCTTCTCCGGGTTTGGCTATTTTAGAGATCTTAGATGAATGGAATCAAGTAGTCTTTGCCCTTCTGTGACTGGCTTTTTTCACTTAGCATAATGTCCTCTAGGTTCATTCAAGTTGTTGTAACTGGCAGGAATTCCTTCTTTTTTTTAACGCTCAGTTTTTATGCTTCAATTGTCAATTCCTGAAGGAAACCATCTTGACCACGATCTTTTCTAATTCTCTCCCTTTGTTCATATTTCTGTAAACTAAACTTGAATCCCCATAGGGCAAGGACAATATCTTACTGATTTTTGTAAGCCCTGCTCCTAAAAGAGTACTAGGTACATGGTAGGCCTTAAATAAATGTTTGTGAAATTGCTTAACAACGTAAATTAGGAGCAGGTTGATGTTTTTACAAGCTCATTTTCTTAAGATAGGAATTAATATGATCTTAAAAGGACTGCTTTCGAAGAATTCTGTTTATTTCTACCCATGTGAGAAACAACAGTCCTCTTGCTAAAATACAGTATGTTCAGAAAAATTAAACATGAAGATAGCATAGAAAAACGCAGGGAGACTGTTAGTTGGCTTTCACTTCCAATGCTGCCCTTGGCTAAGTCCTGTAAGTATGAGTAGGTGCCTCCCAAGATTTTTTGCAGCATGCTGATATGCAGGTCGCCCATTCAACCCATCATCTGTACAACTGCAAAAAAAATCCAAAACAGGATGAAAACCGTACCCCAACATAAAGTTTTGATAATACTTGTATTTGAGAAAAGATAATTTAGTCACCTGGAGGAGTTAGCCCAGAATCAAATAGATGAAGAATTTCCATAAACCACGATTCTTAAACAGAAAATGAGCTATTTAAGATCTTTTCTTTTAAAACAAAAGCTGACCTATGAATAAAAACCTTTTATTTTCTCATAGATTTGTCCCCTTATTTTTGTAGTTGGTTCTTTCACAATATTTTATAATAATCGGTATTTTGTTATATCACAGAAGATAACAAAACCCACTATTCTTTTAAGTACTGTGTACCCAGGATTTAACAAACACTGTATTAGAACCATAGCTGAGTTGAAATTCTAAATCCAATAATTTGAACTAAAATAAGTACCTCTCTTCCCCAAATGCCCTGGCAATAAACTAGAACCGGTGGAATTGAATATTATAAATTCCTTCATAGAGTCGCATACTTCTTAATCTTCTAAATTCTTCAGTAAACTCTGTTGATTTATAGCTGAGAACTCATTCCAGGACTTGGAGTAATCTTCTTTCCTAGACATTTGGCAGGCTTGTCACAAAAGCCTTCATCATTCAAATTCCTCCTTTGAGACAACAATTATCCAGTTTTAAAAGCAGTATCGTATGTTTAGAAAGTATATGAAGGTGTAATCTTGCCTGTTCATATTCACCAGCTTTTCTTCTTTATAGCAGAAGACAATTATTGCAAATCTTACAACACATTCTCTGTTTTGCTAGAAAATTTGGAATAAAAATCAACAAAGCTAATTCCTTTAAAAAATGGCTTCCAGGATCCCGAGTTACACCTCTTTTTTCTCCACTTGCTTTTATAATCACTATCCATTGACACCAGTACATTGCTAATAGAACAATCCACTTGAATGGCGAAAGTGGATGGAATGAAATCAATGACAGGAGAGCAACCTTGTCCATTTTTCGGCACACCCACCCATGACCACATCCTAAGAAATTCCCAAGGTTCTAGGTCTGGAGCCCTCTAGTGGTGGTGAGCGGTGGTTCTGGTCTTTAAAAAGCCACTTTCTGGTTTTCATCTTTTTTTTTTTTTTTTAAGATTTTATTTATTTGTTTGATAGAGAGAGACACAGCGAGAAAGGAACATAAGCAGGGGGAGTAGGAGAGGGAGAAGCAGGCTTCCCGCGGAGTAGGGAGCCTGATGGCAGGGCTCGATCCCAGGACCCTGGGATCATGACCTGAGCCAAAGGCAGACACTTAACAACTGAGCCACCCAGGTGCCCCTCTGGTTTTCATTTTCTTATCTACAGGATATATTCATTTGTATACTAATTCATTAAATAATTAACAATCACATGCTACAGGACAGAAACTGTGCTGGCAATGGTGTTAAAACAGAGGTTCAAAAAAATTGCAGTGCAGCAGGCCGACCTAGAAAGAAGGCAACAGTATGAAGCACTGTGCCATGTGCTACCTCAGTGCAGGAGGTGCATGAGTGCAAGGATTGTGGGCGAAGACGCCTCACACACTTAGAGCACTGACAAGGGCTATGCAGGAAAGCTGAGGCTGAGATGAGTCCTGAAGACAGAGGAAGCTTACTGAAGCCACCTGATGTGCAAAGCATGGCATTTTTGAGATAGTAAGTGAGGATGACACTACAGGTTACAAGCAGAGGAAGGGCATAGAGGACGATGGGCAAAGAGACGTCAAGGGCCAACTAAGAAGGGCCCAGAATGACACACAGAAGATGTAGAACCCAGATGTAGAAGGAGAGGGAAGCTATTAGAATTTCAAGCCGAAGGATCACACAGTCTGAATTATCATTGGGAGATATTACTCCACTCGCAGAAGGTAGAGGCAATGAGACCCTCTCTGAGACAGCTACTAAAATATGGATACAAACTGACAAGGGCCAAAACAAAGTCAATGGCTACGAGGAAAGAGAGGAGGAGATGGATTCGTGAGCTATCCAGATGTAGAATGGACATGATTTAGGAACTGTCTGGGAATGGATGCTGAGGGGGAGAAAAAAAAATCTAGAATTATTTCTGGAGTTTAGTTTGGGAACATGCTACTTTTATAATGTGTAGGAGACCTATAAGCGGAGACAGTGAGCAGGCAGTGGGAATGTACAAGCCTTGAACACAGGAGGAATGTCAGGGTTGAAATAAAAAACTGGAAATGTTTAATGCACGCAACATACAGATAGGAGAGGAGGGAACACTGTTAATGGAGACAAAAAAGGATGGCCCCAGAGGTAGGAGGAAAAAAAAATCAATGTCACTACACCAAGAGAACTGGGAGTTTCAAGGAGAGAGTAGGCACCCCTGTAAATTCCTAGATAGCAGTGAAATCAAATGAAGAGTGATCAGACCCAGGGAATCTCACACCTCAGAGATTACTGGTCACCAAAGAGAGGAAAGTGCCATTAGGGTAGCCTGGACACAGATCAGACTCTGATGGGCTGAAGGATGAGAAGAACCACAAGAAAAGGAATACATTTTCCAGAAGCTTGGGGTAAAGAGAAATATGACGAATTGGCTAGAAGATCTTTACAGCTCTCTTCAGCAATAGCATTCTACAAAATTCTACTAACAAAACAGTTATAATTGGTCCTGTTTCTCCACATAGCTAAGATATCTAACTTGCTACCAGCCCAGACATTAGGAAACTGAGGAGAAGGAGCCGGGTGGGTTCAGATCAGGATTCATCTACTTGGAGACTTGGCTTAGGGCACTCATGTAGGCAGTGCAGTGGCTCCTGTCTATGTAAGAAAGAAGTGGATACGTGTGCAGACAGCTACTAGCCTCCCTTACCTCGTTGTTTGTGTGGTAGTGGGAGGTGTAGGGAGTATAACCATTTTATTTTATTTTTATTTTTTAATAATTTATTTAATTATTTGAGAGAAAGTGAGATCAAGCGAGTGGGTGGAGAAACAAGTGGGTGGAGAGGGGGTGGGAAAGTGAATCTCAAGCAGACTCCACGGCCAGCACGAAACCCAACAGGGGGTTTGATGTCATGACCCTGAGATCATGATCTGAATTGAAACCAAGAGTCCAATGCTTAACCGACTGAGCCACCCAGGCGTCCCAGGAGTATAATCATTTTAAACAGTAGAAAAGATTGAAATTAGCTGCAGGGGGGCAAAATAATCCATAGATAAATAAATACACAGGAAGAAAGCGGGGCTCTCCTAAAGGACAGTCATCACACTGTTTACTCACGGGTGGTCCTGGGGGACCCGGTTTTCCTGGAGGTCCTGTTTTTCCTCGTCTTCCCTGGAAACCAAAGAGAAACAGACAATAAATACTGTGATGCCTTTTTTTTTTTTTTTGCTTTTAGATGAGACAATATTAAACGGCAATTTTAAACATAGTAAAAATTAAAAAATAATCTCAAGCCTACCTGACCTTTAAACATCAGTGAAATCTAAAACCCACAGGCCAAATTTTAATGACCAGTAGGAGAAAGATAGTGCCTGCCACGAATAAACGTTAACTTACAGGCAGTCCTTTAAATGCTGTCTACCTCGATACTGTAGTCAAGTAACATAAAGCATCTGCAAGACGGTCTAAGATTGGCATTTTATCTGACGAGTCTATGGTTTTGGATGCCATAAAACCTGCATTTGTCACCTTAAATCGGTGTTTCTTGAAGAACGGTGTGAATAATTTCATAGGAGTAACCTATGGGTAGGATTGGGTGTTACAAACGCACGTTCTGAAGCTTCATCCTCGACTTACTGGTTTAGAATCTCTGGGCAAGGAAGTCACGCATCTGCCCTTTAAAACCATCTCAGGTCACTCTTACGCTCACTACAGTGTGAAAAGCACTACCCGAAGCCATACCGTAATCCTGTGTATCGTATAAAGCACATCAACTAGCTCTCTTCATCCCTATGGATGGTAAAGCTATTTTTTAAGTAAACTAAAATAAATATCCCTTGCTGATCAATCTTCGCCATGGCATTGAATGTTAACTTTCCCAAGCTGACCACTAGCTAAATTTCAATCGCAAGAGTTAGAAAAGGAAGATTGTGCTAACATCTCTAGGTGACTGTGTACCTAGTATCATTTAAAGGGCAGTTAGTTATTTTTTATAAACTCGCTTTTTAAATTTTTCTCCTTTTCTAATAGAAGGATGTAAACCTAGGTATTGAAAGCATATATTTTGAATGAGAAGCATTTTGGAGCGTGTTTTATTTTTATTTTTTTTTTAGAGAAAGCATGGGAATGGGGGTGGGGAGGGGAGGGCAGAGGGAGGAGAGAGAATCCGAAGCTGGGGCCTGGAGTCTGATGCAGGGTTTGGTCTCAGGACCCTAAGATCATGACCTGAGCTGAAATCAAGAGTTAGATGCTTAACCAATCGAGCCACCCAGGTACCCCTCCATGCATGTTTTATAAATATGGTCACTCTACTTCATTGTTACTAATTATTTTATTATCATATTGGTAGTATAGTAATACACATTAAGACTTGTTGCTACTGACAAAGTAAAAGTATTGGGTTAATCTTTCAACATTTTTTGGGGGGAGAACTGTAAACATAAACACAGAAAGGCCCATCTCATTCACTAATTTTCTTGCTCTGAAAGTGTCAGGCAAAGTCGCTTCCTCTTTCTGGTTTTTTGTCTAGGCTGGGAGTGGGGTAGGAAGTCCAATGTCAGTTAAAGGAGTGGAATAAAACTGGGGAGATAAGTAAGCACATACCACACTATGATCGGATGGGAAATGCTTGCACTGTTGTTGAAGGTACGTCAACAATTCATCAACAATTAATACAAAAACAGCAGCTGTTTTTATAAACAATCCTAGCTCACATCCACAGAACAAATTTTTAAAACCTTTATTAAAACAGAAAAATAATTAGTGATCTTTTCATGTATTTCCTGTTGCAGAGATCTGAACCTGGGAGTTCCTTTGGGGAGCTGTAACACTGGAATGAATATATAATTTAATAGTCTGTATACTTAATAAAAGTTATACCCATGTACATCATTTTCTGGTCTTGTAGTTTACACATTCTGAAAATCAATATATTGGGTCTTTTAGTAAATGTAAGTCAATTAGACCCTGAGGACTAATCAATGATAAAAAGTTTACTTAGAAAGTGGAAGCACTGTAATTTATTTAGTCACAAGAGCACAAAGAAACAAAATCAATGGCATCGAAGTGGGTGATAGGTTCTTTCTTTTAGGTTGAGGTAAGTTAAACCATGGTATCAACTTCTGTGTGCATTCTCCTTTCTTTAAAGGAGACATGTGTATTGATCGGGGCAGGAAGTGGGGAAAATGAGGCTGACTATTGATCAACTTTTATCACAGAGCGAATGGTGAAGGCAAGGCAAACGTTAGATATTGTAACATAACCTTGTCATATTTTAGGAGGTGGAGTACAAACATTCACAATTCAGTACGGTAGGGGCAAGCATCCAAATTCTTGCCTATCACTGGTGATTTAAGCAATCACTTAAGTCAGCCTTGCAACTGTCAGAGTGCACCGATGTGTATGCTGGAGGAGCGCTGGGGAATGCTGCCTTTGTTCACGTGTCCTTGCTAAGGGTGGATATGCAGGTAAAGTATTTCTTAGGGCCGTTTATTTACTGGAACATACTGTGTGCCGCAGATAACTTCAGATGGCATGTATTTCAGTTTAAATGTGATTTGGAGGCTTGAGTTCCTAGTTACTCCCTAATCCTGATTGGAATTCTTTTTAATGATTTTCTTTACAAAGCAACACAGTACACATTTTTTTTTTTTAAGCCATACAGCCAAAAATGTGTTAAATATATTCAGACTTAGGAATTTAGCTTAAGTCTTAAGTTTCAGTGATCTAGGAAGGGGGCTCCGACAGGATAAAGCAGGAGGGTAAACGGATGAGAAACCAGCTGGAAGCTCTGGAGGATGGTGTCTGGGAGTGGTCCAGAACCACTGGAGTGACAGAAATTTTGGGCCTACTCCCGGGCATCATCTTTCTTTTCTCCAAGGAGCCCCAGGAATTCAATCCTTTTTCTTCTTTCCTCCCATTCAAGTCCTCCTCCAGTTGCACTGAACAGTCGTCTCTCATTCTCCTGTTCCTCCAAAAGATCTTTTGCTTTTCCACATCAAAGCATTCAGGAAAGGCAAAAGCCTCCCCTACGAGATAATGTAGATTTTTGGTAGAGTGAATTTTATTACTCAAGCCAGGACAGTTCGGCACATATTTTATGTTAATTAATGTTACTTATTACTTATACATGTATTACTGATAACATATGCCAAGACAGCAGGCCTAAGCCACAGCTCTCATCCTAGGACTAAAATCAGATTCCTTCAGTTTTTCTGAGGAAAGCGTATTCCACGAATCTCTGTTCTTTTCTTTACAGGGCTCTAGGGAACTGTGTGGGGACACCTGGGGCTGGGGCGGGGGCTGTTGCTGGTGGAGGCAAAGTGATGGAAGACATGGCTGTCTCACGTTTGTTCCCACGTCTGCCTCCTTTTATTTCAGTGTCTTCCCTGCAAAGCTTGCTCAAGACCCACTGTAAAGTGAGACAAAAAGTAGGGACTTGGATGAGTGTAAATGAGAGAAAAAGTAGGGACTTGGATGAGTGTGGGGATGAAAATTCTGGCAGACAAAGATACATGCTGAGCTGGGATGATCTTCCTGGTTAGGATGCCTGCTCCCAGGTGGCCATTTGTTCATAAGTGATTGTGATAAATTGGAGCCTGGCTGCTGGGGACCTACTGTTCCAGCATAATCACAATTGGGCTAATCCACCCCTTTTCTGAAAATGGGAGTATGAAGCATAAAACAGATTCACCATACCAGGTTGCCCTGGAAACCTCAAAGTGCCCAACATGTAAATTTCCTGTTTGGAAATAGTGTAAAGGTTATTAGACAGCAGTTTCGATATTTGTCTAATGATTTAAGCCCAGCAGTGCTCAGACCTGATTGTGTGTCAGCATCATCAGGAGGGCTAGTTAAAACAGATCAGTGTATGTAGAGGAAAAGGGAACCCTCATGCACGGTTGGTGGAAATGCAAACTGGTGCAGCCAGTTTGGAGGTTGGCGGTTCCTCCAAAAAGTAAAAATAGAACTACCATACTGATTCTACTATATTTGCTAAGGAAAAAGAAAACACTAATTTGGAGAGATATATGCACCCCTATGTTTCTTGTAGCATTACTCACAATAGCCAAGATATGGAAGCAACCTAAGGGTCCGTCAGTAGATGAACAAAGAAGATATTACACACACACACACACACACACTGAACTATTGCTCCACCGTAAAAAAAGAATGAAATCTTGCCATGTGTCATAACACAGATAGACCTAGAGGTTATTATGCTAAGTGACATAAGTCAGATCAGACAGAGAAAGACAGATACCACATGATTTCACTTATATGTGGAATCTAAAAAAAAAACAAACAAATGAACAAACAAAACAAAATGAAACAGAAAACCTACTCTGAAATACAGAGAACAAACTGGTGGTTGCCAGAGGGGAGGAGGGTGTGGGAGAATGGCTGAAATGAGTGAAGGAGATTAACAGGTACAAACTTCCAGTTATAAAGCAGATAAGTCACAGGGATGTAAAGTACAGTGAAGAGAAGAAAGTTGATAATATTGGAATAATTTTGTATGGTAACAGATGGTAACTAGACTAATTGTGGTGATTATTTTATAATAGATATAAATGTTGAATCACTGTGTTGCATATTTGAAACTACTATAATATTGTATATCAACTATACTTAAAAAAAAAAAAAAAACCAACAGATTTGACTCCCCACTTGAGAGTTTCTGATTCACTAAGTCTTGGGGCAGGGCCTGCGAATTTACATTTTTTTTTTAAAGATTTTATTTATTTATTTGACAGACAGAGATCACAAATAGGCAGAGAAGCAGGCAGTGGGGGGGGGGAAGCAGGCTACCTGCTGAGCAGAGAGCCCAATGCAGGCTTTGATCCTAGGACCCTGAGATCATGACCTGAGCAGAAGGCAGAGGCTTTAACCCACTGAGCCACCCAGGCACCCCAAGAATTTACATTTTTAACAGGTTCCCAGTAATGCTGACGCTGCTGACCTAAAGACCATACTTTGAGAACCCCTACTCTAAGCCTCAAGCTCCTACTCATATTTCAAGTTAGGCAATCATGTAGAATTGCTAATATCTTGTAAATCTTGTAGCTTAGAATAAAAAAGCCCAGTTGGTTTTGTGATTATGTGAGTTTAGGTGAATAAAAAGCCCACTGTCAAGTTTAAGAGCACCTAGATTGGAGTCCTGCCTTTTTCTT